AAGAGAGCGGCACTACCCCCTCAAGTGACTTATAGTTTATTTTTAGACAAGCATACCGAGGTAATGCTGTATGTATCCATATGCATTTATTTATTTTCACTTTGTACGCATTTGTCTTTTACAACGACTTGTATGCATCTTGGAAAAAAACTAGTTTATTCCGTTTATTTCTGCTTTTTCTGCTAATTTCGGATTGCATAAGATCGTGACGAAGGTCTAAGAGGATGAAGTATTGTGCTGCGTGAAGAAAAATGAGTTAATCCGTGGGGCGGTTGTTCTCCATTTCTTTCAAGTTTTCCCCGAGCGATTTTCGTTTCGTGTTATTTTCCTTGAGCACTGACGTTGATTGAAGAGACACTGCTTATAACAAAAAAATTGTCCTTCTACAAGATGCATTTTATGAAAAAAAGGACGGCAATTTGTATTAATAAAATTCGAGATCGGACTAATCATCAGAGACCTCGTTTCTCCGATACGCATCGCCATACAGTAATCGATATGAATAACTTATCCGCGTCTCTCCCAACGGAAGGACTTTCTCATTTTTCAAGCTGAGAAACACGTGGGTTTGCATCAATAATATCGTTGCGCGATTGCGCCGGCGAAGCTCTTTGATCCAATTAGAGGCATTTCATATTAGCGTCAAGGTTTCTGTGAGTCTTACCATTCATTTCTAGCGGTTCCGTAATTTTCTAAAGTCCAGAGAAAAAAAAAAATACTTACGTTAAGCTCCGAAAAAACACGCAATTGCTGCCGCACGGAGAATATAGGTATACATACATACATACTTCCATTAACTCACCACCTCTCGCGTATGTGGTCATGATGCCGTACAAATCGTAACTGTCGACTCTCTGGATTACAAGCTAAACCCTCCGAGCTGAGTACAGTAACACTTTCCCAAGTCTTTCTCTCTCTATAGCACCCACCACGTCGTCAATTAAATCGAAACCACTATAGCGCACCACACGGAGGTGGAAGATTACCTCGTGACTCGTGGAAAATCTTGGCGCCTCCGGGCACCCCTCATTTGCATGGGGATTACCTATAGATCCGCGCGAGAGTAATCTTCTACTTCTAACTCTGCTCTTCTGTTGCTGCCGCCGTGTTTACAGCCATTCGCCGTAGTTAGGTTGCTTGTGTGGTAACCAATATCTATACACAGCGGCCTTTTGTAAGATTTTCTCTTACTTTTGAAAGGAGAGTAATAGTAACAAATGAGTTTCGCGAAAAAGCTCTCGGGGTAATTTGGAATTGTTATTTTAAAACTGTCTAGTTGCGGCAACAGTGAAACTCGCGTCTAGAGCGCGTTAGGCGCCAGAGCAAAATTATACGCTTCAAACGTTGGCGGTGAAATGTATTTTCTCTTCGTAAAGTTTATTTTTAGTATTTACGTTGAAAATGAACAAAACCGACGTTCATTTAATCGTCAACATGCACTATTTTCCGTTTTTCGGATACTTCTCTTGCATTCCCATGCATTTGTCATACAGTATATATAACGAACGGTTTTGTATCAATAATGGAGGGACTATATCAGAAAAACTGTTGTTCGCAGGTTGCCTGTCTAATCACACTCTTTCTCTCGCGGCAAGTCGCCGCCAATAACCTGGCATACAACTATTCGCGCAAACCCAGGAATAGCCACATTGGAAAGCGGTTCACTCACATGTACGGAAGGTATGTATACACACTTGTTCGCTTTTTCTTCAGATATTCACTGAGAGAAATGAAAAATAAATGTTACCTATACTGTTCCGATGCACATTATAATCTATATCTGAGATTCATGAAGCAGGGTAATAATATTGGTTTTTCATACGAAAACCATAGTACTGGAACAATAAAAATCAATGTACCTGCAAATTGTAACAATAATAATTTTAAAGAGTAAAAAATTATTATGAAATCGGTCACAATTTTCTTTACAAAATTTTCTCACCAAATTGAAAAATATAATCGTGACTTTTAATGTAATACCTTGACAATTACCTAATATTTGCGTTTTTTCTCTCAGAGTAACTTTAATGATTTGTTAACTTTGTGAGTTGTTTTTGATTATTTATTTTTTCTTTTTCTGTTCATTTCTATATGGCCATGGTTTAAGATTCCTGATTTTTTTGAGCTTTCATATATCACACTGCAGTTTTTTGGTAACAGACCTAAAATAAAAAATAGTATTGTTTGTAAATTTGTCATTGAAAGAAAAAACAATAGACATTAAGAAATTTTTTATTAAAAGTGAATATGACACAGCTTTATAAATGTGCTGATCGACATTGCAAAATATTATACAAATCTTATAGTAGACAACTAGCTTATAATTTTTTTTTTTTTTTTTTTT